CTGACAAAGAGTACAGTATTTCATTTTGGGTCACTAAGAAGCATTTAAAGATTCATCTTTCTGCAGAAGACCTTCAAAATCCATATGCAGAGGTTTATGAAATTTCTGATTATCTGACATTAAAGCATTCTGCAACCTTTAATAATACTGCACTACTGTTGCAATGATAACCATGAATCCATCAGTCCAGATATGAATGACCTGCCAACAAAACGAAAAAATGTGCTACCATGCCTGGCAACACAACATATGCCTGCACTGCTGCCTGTTGTAACTTCTGAGTCCCTGCAAGAAAAACAGAAATGAAAACGTCCCTTTAAAGGCATGTGAAAAGAAAATATCTCTACTTTTACTCTATTTTAGCTTCTGCAGAAGATAATCCAGATGTGCTTCAAGAGAGCCTGGAAATATCAATTAACAGCACCTTGACAGTCTGGCAAGATGCCTGGCAAGCAAGAAGGGATATCTGACATACTCTGATTAAGCTACCAGGCAAATGGAGCTCACAGCGGTTTAGAATCGTTGCTGGTATGAAACACTGAACTTAAATCTAACAATTCTCCTATTCTGTTTTCAAAGTGCTTAAGGTTCCTCACGAATGAACTTAAGATCATATAAATCAATGGAATGATCTCTTTGAGAAGTACTTCACCCAGATTAGCAGTCACCCGAGTACACTCAAATGCAAGGTGGGCTGCAGCAAATCACTAGATATTTGACAATATTCCCCATGAGATGAGAAAATAAACAAGGAGAAAATTCTGTACTAAGAGCAACAGGCTTCATTATTACTAATTTTTTCTTTCATAATCAAATGAAAGAAAATAATAGACAAGGAGATGAAAAACTCGCCCCAATTTTGAGGAATGAAGGAGGCAACTTGAGCAGTATTACCAGTGAGTTTCAAACAGTTGAAACTGCTGATAGTGTCTTCAAATAATTGAGGTGTGGAATTGGATGGCAGAATATCCCAACAGTTTCCTCCTAAAGATTATTACAAGAAGTGTAAACTCTATGACTTCCAAGCTGCAAAAGAAAATCTTCTTGTTTTCCCTTCTCATCACATAGAAAAGAATCAAAAAGAAACAGAGCTGAGTATCCCTTGAGAGATTTCCAAGGCACCATAATTTGAAATGAGACGGCTGAAGAGAAACAAGACTTCCCAAAAGGGATCTCTGACAGATGGACAATGGTGTTGAACTTGCTGGCATAGGTGAGCCTCCTGGGCTGGGATCTATTTACTTCTATATTCTTCTGATGGAGGAACAGTAGTTGAGGGCCTCTGGTGCTAATGTAACATCTCTGTTTCCCCTGCAGGAACCGGTATATGTATAATGACTATGTCCTTCCCTGTACAGATTCAGAAGTCTGTATTTTGATTCCTGTTAGGGTCTCTACAGTAATTTAGAAGGCGTTAGCTACAAAATACTGTGCATTTTAGCAAATGAGGCTCTGAATCAATTGCTACCTCAAATTAATGTAGACAAACTTAGAGGAACATTCAAAATGGTCACTGTTGATGTGACAGTACATTTTAGATTCTGCCCAAGCTTCTCTGGGAATTATAGCACTCTCCCAGTTCAGGCAGTTTTCTTATTTTGTTTGTAAATAGAAGAAACTGATAAATCAAACATCTCTATGAACACTAAGAGTCACTTGAGATTATTCTGGGAAGTTTGTTTAGATTATTTGGGATTTTTTTGTTTGGCTTTTTTGGTTTGCTTTTTTTGAGGCAGAGGAAAAGGCTCATCCTTAGTGCTGTATTTAGAGATTGCTCATTTATGCTTTTTGGCTACCAGTGTTCAACTTGAAACTGAAACCACAAAAATATTTAAATGTCTATGAGGGAAAATAAAGTACTTGACAGACTTGCATGGCAGATTCAAAACTAGTCTTGACTAACCACTACCAGCAAACAAACAGAAATGCATAACATCCAGAAATCACAATTTTCCTTGCACTCCCAGTCTGGCTGTCTGAAATGCACACCACATGTGCAACAGTCTTGATACAATAAAATGGACAATCTTGTGACCAAGTAAGACAGAGCTTAATGCAAGCGTCACCTGATTTCCCCCCTACCTTTATTCACTACCACATTCTGGGCTGTTGCAAATGATCACCTGGTCCTCTTGAACAGGCCTACAGGGCTCACACAGGGAACAGATTAAATGTGATCACACACGTTCAAGAGATAGATCTGATGAAGATTCAGTATGGGACAATAATAATCATAATCCTCACTGAACTCCTACAGTTTGGGCTCAGAACAATCCCTGCATCATCACATACTGATATTCACATCAGAAACTGAAGCACACAGACCACGTCCAAGTTGTCTTTTGGCTGTGAATCTTTTGCATTGCTCTTTTACACACCAAAGAGCAACCTGCATTTACATTCTAAGGAAGGCAGCCTTCATTGCTCTACCAGATTCAGCATTCTACAGGTTCAGTCTTTTCACAGAGAATGAGCTCAAAGCTTAATATATATTTCCGCATTGAACTGTGACTGCACACTAAGGCTTGGTGGTGTTTCTTTTTCTCCCTGTCCTGTTTTGATGGGGGATTCTTTTCCTTGCTCTGCTTTCTAGAAAGAGAGGCCTGCTACAGTTTGTTTTTCCTTGGGTAAAGATTTCTGTCCAACAAAAATCTTTTGGCAGGGCAAAAGACCTGCAGCCTCAATTACCAAGGAGGACAAGCAGTCTCCCAGGAGAAGTAGTTTTAATTCCTAGAGACTCTATTTTTAGTTATAGCACCAGAAGTCCCTGAAGCAACAATATCCTTTGACCTGTCATTTATGGCAGGGGAGGGAGCAGCAACAGAGTTGGTCTACAGGTCTGAGTGTCCAACTACTACTATCCTACATTAAAAGAGCTCATGCTGTACAGAGTAGGCAGACATCAGAGAGCAGTTGAATTTCCTTTTCCTTCTCTTCCCATAGGCAGGCTGAAGAGAGAGAGAACAAGAGTGAACAGCGTTGCTAATAGCTCCAACAGACACCAACTGCTGAGATGGACCAGATTTCTGCCAGTCTGAATCTATAAGAAAATTCAGCTAAAGTTTCTTCAAACTGAATTGAGGTTATAATTTTTTTTCCAGTAATGTAATCATCAGCTCTACTGCACAGATAAAATTTGGGTAGATTGCAAGCAATTCTGTTGTTTTATGTGAGGAGGAGTATAATCCATCTTTTACAGCCATGCTGTCAAAGAGAAGACTGACACTAAAGGAAGTATACATGACTGAATACACATAACAGAAGCAAAGCAATATGTTATTTTCAAATAGTTACTATTTAAGGGAGAATTGCCATTAGCATTTTGAATACTAAGCAAATCCTTTGCAAGGATTTTATCACAGCACTTTGATTTACAGTTAACTTCTTTTCCTGTGCCTGAGAATTAAACATCTCCTACACAGACAACCAATTACAAAGGAAGTCCTCTATTTATGCCCCCTTTATTCCACAACTTAAAAGCAATCATCAAATTCCTACAATAGCTTGAAGAAAAGAAATGAAGTTATTAATAAAAAAAGCACGTTAGGAGACAGCATGGTAGAAGAAAGGGAATTACAGAAGCAGAGTAATCTGAACCCCAAACAATGCAGGAAACACCACACAAGAGCCTCATTTTCCATACAAGCAACTGACAATAAAAGCAGACAGCACCTTCTTAATAATTCCACAAAACCTTCTTTTTAATTGCCCCAAATGGTTAACCTTTACACACAACGTACCAACTTAAACTCATGAAAGGAAATCACCAATTTTTGTCCTGTTCTCTTCAGTCTGACATTGCAACACAGTTGCTGGATTTCAGGGTGAAAGCATACATATTGCATAGACTATGGCATCCCCTTACAGTTCTAGGCATTACTGTACCACAATCAGGCAGCAAACAACCTTTCATCAACACTACTCAAAGGTACATCTTATTAGCAAGACACAACTGTAAGAACCTGAAGATGGAAACGCAGTGTATCTTTCTATGCCAAGGGCTGGACTCACAACATCCCAAATAACCCTAACCAGCACCCCATCAATATTTGGACAAGTATCACAGTTTAAGAACCATTAATGAAAAAGGAACAAAAGCTGTTAATTGCATGTGGATCTTTTTCAACAGCGACAGTTTATCAACAGTGTAAAAACACTAATGGTCAACACAGAAAGTCCCTTCATAGTTATGCAGATGCTACAGTAAGCCTCCCCTAATTCAGTACATAATCGTGCCTCCCGAACACAATAGCAGGGATACTATTACTAGCACCAGAGACAGTCAAGATACTCAGCAGACTGAAGAACTATCCAAGTCTATATAAAAATGTATCATCAAATAACCATGAAGGATTCTGATCTTAAATAATTCGAAGCTGTAAGACAAATGACACTTTTGAGAAGCCAGCCTTCTTAACAAACCCAGAGTAAGGCTTAATAAATAAATTACCACAGTATCACATATCAATTAGAACTAGAACTATGCCTGTCCTGCCTAACATGCTGCTTCCAATCTTTGGAAGGTTTAACGTCATGTGACCCAAAAGAACACCTGAAGAGCTAAAATAAAAACACATAGCCCTGTACACCACAGCCTTTTATCCCCATTTAATCTTTTAGTAACCACGCCAACACATTTTACAGAAGAAAAACACCTCGGCGCTGTCTACACGAGTATCTCTGCCCCAAAGAGTAGAACATAGAATCAATTAGGTTGGAAAAGACCTCTGAAATCCCCGAGTCCCAACCTACGGCCGAACATCACAATCTCAACCAGAGCATGGCACCGAGTGCCACGTCCAGCCTTTCCTTAAACACCCTTAGGGGCAGAGACTCCACCACCTCCCCGGGTAGGGGAGGCCGTTCAGGCCAGAAAAACAAGGAGGGGCGACAAAGAGCCAGGGGGACTTCCCAACACCAAGGGGACGAGCCGAGCCAGGCCTCTCCCTCCCGAGGTTGCCCCCGCCCGCCGCGACACCTGTTCCCGCTTGCCCGCTCACCGCCGAGCGCGGACGCCTGCAGCGTGGCCCCCGAGGTGCCATCGATGACTTTGATGGCGCCGCGCGCGGTCACGGCCAGGATGGCGTTGAGCGCCGGGTGGTAGCAGAGGCTGCAGAGCCCGTCGGCGTCGCAGCGCAGGCAGCCGTCCCGCAGCAGCAGCCACTCGCAGGAGCCCGGGCCGGGCCCGGGCCCCGCCGCCGCCGCCGCGGCCGAGGAGCAGGAGGCCGCCGCAGCCATCTTCGCGGCCGCCGCCGCCGCCGCCCTCAGGACAAGAGGCCCGGGGGGAGCCGCTCAGTGACAGTCCCTGGAGCCGCCGCGGCCGCCGCCAGTCACCATCCGGGTCCGGGAGAGGGGGAAAGGGAGAGAGAGCGCCCGCGTGAGCAGGAAGTGACACAACCGCGCCGGATGCGGAACCGACCGCCCGGCTCGGGGGGGTGGGGGGGCCACTCGGCGCGGGCAGGGCCGGCACGCGGGCGCGGGGGGGCGGGGCTACGCTTTGTGCGCGCGCCCGCCGCGCCCCCGCGCAGGAGGAAGGAGGTGGCAGCGCGCAGGGAGCGGATTCCGCCTCGGGGCGGGGGTCGGTCCCGTGAGGGGCTGGGGAACTGCTTCGCTCTGGCTCCGTGCCCGGCGGGGCTGGAGCGCGGCCAGCCGGCCCTCGGCTGTCCCCAGCCCTCGGCTGTTCCCGGCCCTCGCCGCTGCCGTGTCGTTACCGACTCGGACAAAAGCCGAGTCGTAGGCGGGCAAGCGCGTTAGCTGCCCCCCGTCTCGGAGAAACCGGAGCGGGGATTTGCGTTTCGTACCCCGGCTCCGAGACTGGTTTTGTACGCGAGCGATGCGAGCGGGCCCCGGTGTGAGCGGCCTCCAGCGCTGGTACAAGAGACGGAGCCACAATGCCACGGCTCCCTCCCGGAATGCGCTCGGCCCGCGGGAAGGGTGTCCCTGGCCCCGGGTCATTGCACGTGTGACAGCATTTTGCTTTGAAGCAGTGCTTCAAAAATGACCTAAGTTTAATAAAACCTTTTGTATTTTGTTAAGATTTTCCCTTTTTACCCCCTGGAGTGCCAGTGCAGTTCGTACAGCTCAGCCTACCTCGATGCATTACTTTTTATCTCCCATAGGCATTATTTTATTTAAGTGACATGTTATACTAAAATATTTAAAAATGTTTTTAAGCTACTGATGTTCGTAAATATATTTTTAAAATATAATTAAGTTTCCTACAGAATATTTTTATTAGAAGGACCCAAACTAGCAGAGGCTGCTGTAGCAGGAAAACGATTTAAGAAATACAATGTGTAAAGAAAAACTAAAAGAACAAATCCAAACCAAACCCACAAGTATGTGTGCCACCCAGGCTAATCAAAATTGTCCTGGGAGTAAAATAAGCAGCTTTTAAGCCTGCTTCACTACTTCAAGTAAAGCACTAGGGGTACTGATAACATTCACAGCAGATCTCAAGCTGTATGTTGTCTCCTCATTGTAACAATTGGTTTCATACACTTTTCAAGTAAGCATAACTTTTCTGATACACAGCGGAGTATGTCTGATGGGTAGAAGAGGAAAAAAGATATGTACATGTCTAGCTGCTCTGTAGAGATCATCCAAAAAGCACGTCTAAGGTGTGATACCCATGTCTCCACCTCAGAAGGAGGTATTGCATCTTAGAAAGGCAACTTTTTTGCTAGATGAATATGCTCTAAGTTTCCAGTTTTGACAGACTGAAACAGTATATATATTATCACAAAACTTCTTCACAGCCTCAAAGCTATTGATGCTATATACATCAATATGTATCGGTGACATGTATGGGAATAGAGATGTATTAATCAATATTAATTATTCAGTATTAATTCAGTAAATATAAATGAGCTTCATACATTCTGTAAACAAGTTTAATTCAAAATTTTTATAAAATACATCTTGTATTTACACAAATACCTCATCTAAAAATATGAGTTTGTTGAATGCAAAGTTATTACAAACTATCAGAACCATTTGAGAGTTGTTTGTACATATTTCTTGCACAGCATATGCAAAAGGTGACCTTAGAGACATTAAGATTAAAAGGTGCAAATTTGCAATTGTGTACAAACCATGTACTATGTTAAGTGCATATCTACATTGCATATTACACATGTGCCAAGTCTGTGGAAAGGAACAGTTAAAACTGTACCTATAAATTTCACAGAAAATTAATGTAGAGGAAATTGAGATACTCGGAGATTCAATAGAACATTCTTGCATCCTTTCAATATTCATAGTCATTTCAGATGCACAGGATCCCTTACGGACACCTCACGAACAACTATGCAAAGAGGAACTAAGCTTAAAGCTCTCTGGCAGCCCAGTAACCTAAATATGTCCTCGCCCTTCACCTTGTGGGGATGGTAGTTAAACATGTATTTACAGGGTCTGGGTGGAGTCTCATACTACTACTTGCATATTCCTGTTAAAAAAGCAATATAAGTAATGAAAAAAAAAAGGTAAGACCACATTATCATGCAAGATTCCAAAGCTAATATGCTTTTTTAAAAATACACCATAACTTGCTTTTTCTTTTTTTTTTTTTCAGAATGTGGTATGAATGCTCTTAAAATACTTTTAGGTATAAATTGGTTCAGTATGACTCTGCAGTAATTCTACCAGAACTTCTACAGAAGTCAAAAACCAGGTGAAAAGTCCATTGCTCTACAAGTTTTTCTCCTTTTATATATTACAAGCTCAAGTATTACACTACAATTTATGTCCAGCATTAACTTCAAGTAGTTCCATTTAAAATCAAAACAAGCATCAGCCAGGAAAGCAGACTGAATAAGCAAAAGGTTTGTGGGAGAGTTGGAATTTAATTATATATTTTGCATCAGTAATGACTGGTAAAAATAAGTTACCAAGATGGCAAGTTCCACAGTCTAAAAAGCTGAAAACTTATAGTTCTGATATGGAAATATGTCCATCAGAGGCCAAAGACAGCCCTTGCAATTACCTTGTCATGGCTGATTTTTATTTGCAGCATTAAAAAAAAAGGGGGGGGATGCAAAATGCTTTTTTTCTGTTACCAAAAAAAAAAAAAAATTAAGAAACTTAAGATCTATTTGTTGATACCAAATACTGAAGATTGCAAATGCCTAAGTTAGTACCATGCAAAGTGAACTTCAGTGGACTTCCCTTGTGAAGAAATCTTACCATAAGGACCATTACATAAGCAATCAACACAGTACACAGGAAATATTTAACATGTCATCACATTATTACATAATCCTTGGAGAGTCAAAATTAGCAAACCTGTAACTGTTACTAAGGCTGTAACTCTCCCTTGTTTAGCGGAGGGAGAATCTGGCCTTCCAAATCTTTATTTCTCTTTACAAGGGATCAATATTACTGGTGAGGAAAAAAATAGATGTGTGTTATATACCGTACTATTAAAAGCAAAACAGAGCAAGATGTTGTAAAACATAGTTAGGGAAGCATTATTTTTATTTTATCATCATAAAATAACATTGTTTAAAGATCACACAAATTTGATAGATCATATTTTTTCTCCAACACTAAGCCAGCACTAGAGTTGAGAAAGGTGTTCACCCATTTCTCTGTAAATTTATACTTTTAAGTAAAATAATTTGATTCTCTAAATATGCATTTTAATTAATTATGTCACACTGTAAATATCTTGCTCCTTTGGTCAGAGATAGTAAATGAAGACTTCAAATACTTGTATCTTCAATTTTTAAAAATCCAATATACATCCTTAACCAAGGAGTATTTACGGTACACACAACAATAGATACAAAATACACAGTATATACATGTTTTGAAAACAAATTGGAATTTATAAAAACTCAACAGCCAAATCAAAGTAATTGAGGCACTAAATTAAAAGTAGTATCTTCTTGTCTTGATTATACAGACTATTCTGTGAACAATCAGGACTCTTTCATAAATATATATTATCTACAGAATTTGCTGTGCCAAAAAAAGCCAGCTGTGTTTAAGCTCAAAAGAAAAATTGCACTTTGAGATTGTTACAGTTAACTTCTCATTTTTTCTTCTTGAATATAGTAATATGGTCCCAGTGCTTTTGGCACAGGTATTGAGTTGTGGTTTTGCTACGCGTTATTATAAAACACAAGGTTCTTTTATTTTGTTCATTAAAATCTGAAGAGTCTTAAACAAACCTAGAACTTTGATACAAATCTATATAGCTACAATTGCTTCATTAAATAATATACACAAATATGCTCTTCGATCTTAAAACATCTTGACAACTGGATACAAAACAGTCACTTGTATTATCTCCAGCCTCCTCAATCTTACTCATTATCAGTCTGCAAGTGACTAAAATATGGTTTCTGGCCCCATCTTACACTAGATCACACCCCAGTGTACAAGGACAGAAAATAAATGTATAATAAAAAGATAGGATAAATTAGAAGGGGTTTCTTGGTCTTGAATTCTTCTCCAACTAGTAATGATGCAGCACTGTATGCAGCCCAAAAGACTCCGAACAGCTGAAAAAGAAGATGAACAGTCTTAGCTGACACCACGAGAAAGTCTCTCCAAATACCATGAAAAAAATCAGTTCTTCTCTCAATATAATTTAAAAGAAAGCCTCCAAAAAAGATTTTGGGGGGAAGAACTCCACACACACAAACACAAAGTCTATACTACGCATTTTCATTGAAGTTTAGAGAAACAGAGCACGCTATTTTCGCTTGAGACAGTTTTACTGAAGTGAGCAGCTAAGGACCTACAGTAAGTTTTCTCTGTGTAAGACATATAGATACCACAAAGCAAGCTGTAAGCTGTAATCTTACATACACCAATAATTTGAAACCTCACTGGATTAAATTTCTTTCTACCTTGACTGTCCTCAACTATTACCCCACACACACACCTTCAAGCAAAATAGATACTATACTTGACATTTCCTCCTATAACATACACCAGAGAGTTAAAATTAACATTTTTTATTTCAGGATTAATTTGGCTCATAAATTTTTCTTTACTTATGGTGCCCCCACCTCAAGATAACTGAACCTCATATTCCTATTCCTTTCAGGTGCAGTGAGAAGCCTGCCAAAATACAACCTTTATCAGAGACTATATTGCTTACTAAATTGAGGGAGAACCAGCTTACAAGACTGGTAGAAAGTAATATCACTTATGAATATCCACTAGGTTGTATGAAGTCAGCATGCACGTTTTTAAAGAAAAAATGTCTTGAAGTCAGAGAACTTGACTCAAACCTCAAACTA